ATTGTAATTTATTGCAATTTATAGATTAATATGTGGAATAATTGATCTATGCTTTCAGTACTGGGTCTCACTATCCTAACCTGAGAAGTAGAGCTCTCTCTTTAGTTTGCTTTCATTTATGTCTTTCAATAAAGTCTTGTGCCTCTTAATTTTGCATATATTCTTAGGAACCTAATAGTTTTTGTTGTTTTTTTTTTTACCCATTATAACTAGTTGTTGACTTGTTATAGGAAGTTTTGCTACTCTTGGTGAAAATAAATTTGCCATCAATGTTTGTGTTTATTTCTTCAATATTGTTTTGGCTATTTTGGGCCCCTTGCAATTCCATATAAATTTGAGGATTGGCTTTTCCATTTCTACAAAAAAGCCCATTGGGATTTTGATAGAGATTGCATTGAATTTGTAGATGACTTTGAGTTGTGCTGACATCTGAAGAGTATTAAGCCTTCCAATCCACGGACATGAAATGTGTTTCTGTTTAGTTAGGTCTTTACTTTCTTTCGGCAATGTTTTGTAGTTTTCAGTGTACAAGTCTTTCAACTCCTTGGTTAAATTTATTCCTAGGTATTTTATTCCTTTGAGTGTTATTATTGTAAATGTAGCAGTTTTCCTAATTTGCTTTTTAGATTGTTCATTGCTGCTGTATAGAAACATAGCTGATTTTTGTATGTTGATCTTGCACTCTGAAACTCTGTGGAATTTCTTCATTAGCTCTTGTAGTTTTTTTGTATTCTTTGGGATTTTCTGTATATATAGAATCATGCCATCTGCAAATAGAGATAATTTTACTTCTTCCTTTCCTATTTGGATACGCTTTATTTCTTTTCGTGTTGATTTTATCTGGCTAGGACATCCAGTACAACGTTGAATAAAAGTAGTGAAAGCGGGTCTCCTTGCCTTATTCCTGATCTTACAGGAAAAACTTTCCATTTTTTCACCACTTAGTGGGATGTTAACTGTAAATTTTTCATAAATGCCCTTTATCATCTTAAGGAAGTTCCCTTCTAGTCCTAATCTGCTGGATGTTTTTAATCATGCAAGAGCACTGAATTCTGTCCAATCCTTTGTCTGCATCTATTGAGTGGATCCTGTGTTTTTTTCCTTTGTTCTATTAATATGGTTTACTGTTGTTGTTAGCTGCCATACAGTCGGCCCTTACTCATGGCGACACCATGGACAGTGGAATGAGATGCTGCCTGGCCCTGTGCCATCCCCATGATGGGTTATGGATTGAACTGTTGTGATCCACAGGGTTTTCACTGGCTCATTTTCAGAAGTAGATACATTGACTGATTTTCTTCTGCAGAACCACCCTTGTATTCCTGGGCTAAATCTCACTTGGTTATGGTACATAATCCCTGTAATGTGCGGTTGGATTCAATTTTCTA